CAATATTCTTAGGATCGAACACTTCCTTATAGGCCTTGAAAAATCGAGACAAACACCGTGTGTGGCCTGTTCCAGCTGTTCGTTATTGCTCAGGCATGGCCCAATTTCGTCCAACACATGCTACTGCATGAACATGATTGCCAAGCACGATTGTCCATTGCTTGAAACTTGAGGGGCCATCTTGTCTTCCACCAAGGGGTTGCCTTAAATTATCATGCAAAGCAATTTCTCAGACCCTTACGTTCGCAAGCATGGCTTAGACCCATCAGCAACCCACAAATCTTACCTCAGAATTAAAGCATCCTGACACATACACATACAAGATCACTTTCCGATTTTTTTTGCTACCTGCAGCCCCTGCAGCAGGAACCCCGGCTGTACAACACGAAGCCAACAGAATCCTGGCTTCCTGGAGCCTTTGTCCTAAGGCGGCCAAGAACCTGATCCTTTCTTCGGGCTCTACGTGCTCCCAGAGAATCGAGAAAGGCTTCTGACTGGCATCCAAGGTATCCTCCAAAAAGTCAGGAATCACCTTCCCTCAGTTGCAATGGGGGTGAAATGTATTGGGCTGCAAACAAGCACGTTTGAATAATCGCAAGGGACATTTTGGAAAATGCCTTGGCAGGGCGAGCCATGGAGAAGCACTGTACAAGCCAAGCTCGCTGCTGAGCCCTTTTTTGGCCAGCGGTCGAACTATGAACTCGGGACTGTTAGGCTGGCCTGGGGGCGCCTGATGTTTCTGGCGGGCTTCTGCGCTGCAAGGAACACAGAAGAAGCGATATTTTGTCTGGAATGAATTGCTGATGAGCTGGACAAGGCACAGCAAAAATCTTCCGCATGCAGCTTATGTCGTGTGAGCAATCTAGCACAACTACGACGGTACAAATCACGCCAAACATTCCCAAAAAGTGCTCAGCGCATCAGCATGCAAAGCGAAACATTATTTCACAGCCGGCAGAATTCAATGTCTTCAGTCTTAGGCGCGTGGGGTTGAAGGCACCCACAGTCCAGGACGAAGAAATGGATTCTGCCGATGGCTTGCGACAAGACAAAGTGACTAGCACTAGCACAAGCTGGAAATCGAAACCTTTACAGCCAGACTATGAGTCATGCGCCAGCCCGGCCCGGATTCATTAACGCTTCACTTTGACAAGCTTTGCAACGCTCATGCGATGCTGCACTGCCGCTCAGAACCTGGCGCAGGGGCACATCTGGTCTGAGATTGCCGTTAAACATCCCCCATTTCCCGCACTTTGCTGGCAAAGGGACAGCAATTTCGCGACAGCAAAGCTGTCACAGCCGACAAGCTTGTAGCTTCGCTGTTGCTCGCAGCAGGCATCCTTCAGCTAAGCAGGTGCTTCAAAACTGCCATTGCCCGGTCATTGCCCCGGCAAATGCTGAATGGGTCCACATGAGATGGGCCAGCCAAGCGTCTTGTCTGTTACAGGAACCAGAGCATCCTCGCCATGCCCTGGTGCCTGCATGTTCCATGGTAGCAAATGATGTGAAGGCGGTACGAAGATGGCTGCCTCCTTTAGGTCCTTTACAGCCGCCCCTTTGCCTGCAAAGCGTAGGGTTGACATGGCTGCAGGAGGCACGCCATCCCACGAAATGGCTAGGTCACCGGCCGTTTTGCCCACGCTTCCCCCTTCCTTTCCCTGCACAGGTGCGGACGGTGGCTGGAGCGCTTGACTCCCAGCATGCTCCCGTCAAAGCACGAGATCTGTCATGGCCTCCCGGCATGCCCTTGCCGCCCTTGCGGGCTGTTTCTGTGGCAAGGAGGAGGATTGCAGCAGCGGCCTGGGTGACATGGCAGCTGCCAATGCTGCATGCAGCTGCGTTTAAAGCAATGCCTGGCCTCGGCAAACTGCACAGGGACTCCGTCCGGGTCTCGACCTTCTGGTATTTCTCTTCTTACCCCACAGCTACACCGCAAGAGTATCACATAGCATCATAAGCTTTTCGAACTTGCCAGAGCCAGGTTTCTTGCTGGCCCTACTTTCCGGCAATGGCTTCTCGGCTGAGAAGCTCCAGGAACGCAGGATGGCATCCTACCGTGATCTCAACACCCTACTGTCTGGGTGCTCCAATGGCTGCTTGGGCCTCCGCCACGAAAGCTTTGGCTTGCTGCGATTGGGACAGGTCGGACTCCTGCGCAGCTTGAATCAGGGATGGGGCATGACGAGGCAGTTGTCAGCCGCAAACATAACAACGGCCTGAAGGACAGAGAAGAGAGCCTGAGCGGTGTACGAAAGACTGAGCACAAGGAAGCTCCTGACAGTGTGACACACGTGAATGTGGTTGAGCCTTTGAGCGTCGAAATCATAATCTCAAAGGCCTTTTCTTCAGCATGAAGGCAGAGATAGCCGCGCTGCTATGTTTGCTTTGTCTTACTGTTCGGGTAGGGCATAACTCGGCTAGTCATCAGTGCGAGTTGAACAGTGAGGTTGTTGTCGGGAGCGGGAGCGACTTGCTGCCTTTACCGTGTGTTGTGATTGCTCAGACAGGCGCCCTGCTTACATCTCGGGAGAGGTCAACTCATGAGGCGGTTTATCCCAGGAGAACGGGAGGCGAGGTCAACGTGTGGCTGCCTACTTCAGTGATGATCGGATGTATCATGAAAGATTGCTACTTTGGAAACGTGATGCCCCGAAGTGGGTCATCATGACCCCCCTGATAATGTGTATGTTGAGGACTTTTCTGAATATGGCGACCCAAGTTGTGATTCTTTCAAGATATGAGAAGCCCTTGAGCTTTTGAGGGAGGAAGTCCATGTGCCGGATGCCTGGAGACCACGTGGGGTTCAATTGAAGGACGGAGGTGTAGTTTGGTCGAAGCCTCTGCATTTCTGGGGGCGTTGGTTCGCCGCAGATTACGAGGGAAAGGTCCGGAAGCAAGGGGCGAGCCTGTAGATGTTGACCCCGGAGGTCCTGTGGCATTAGGTTAGCACCACACAATCTACTGACATTCAGCTAGGGGACTAAGTTGCCATGCTGAAGAGCGGCGGGGAATGCGTGAAGGTGGAACTGGCCAAGCTTCAGGATTGCACCGATTTCGCGGCGAGGCGACGCGCCTCGTATGGTCAATCCAGGGTGCCAGATCCTCCTGCTGCTGCTGCCCCTGAAGTTCTGGATTTGCTTGTGGAAGATGCCGGGAAAGCCAAAGGTGCAGATGGTGGCCAAGAGGAAATTCGAACTCTCTGGGTCGATTCTATTCGATTATGATGAGCATGGAGAATGATTCAAGAGGTGGCGTGCCGTTTGCAAAGAGTCCTTTAGCCCAGTTCTTGATGATAAAGCCATTGACGGCCCCCTCAGGGCTCTTCATTTCATCAAGCATGCTGAGCGGTAGGAGGTTCATTATGCAGGATGCCATGACCAACTGAGTATCCCAGCTCTCATCTCCGTGGAAGTGCTGTGTAGGCGCGTGCAGCCAATTGTGGAAGCATACGCTAATCCGGCAAGGCCTTTATGGGAGCATGCTAAGGTGTTCCAAGGTCAAGGGTCTCCTGAAGACATGTCAGCCCAGTATCCAGGACATATGCCGCCAAGAAGAACAAGGCGGAACTTGAACTTTTTTCCATGCAAAGCAGAAAGTTCGAGAGCTAAGCGGTTCGCCACTCGTGAGCGCAGATGATGGTGACGGTGATGCGCGATAAGCCTCCGCACAAGCCCCCCAAAGGCCCTAAGAAGGGTTGCGGGAAGGGGCAGGACGGGGCTTGAGTATTTTGAGGCGCTCGTGGAAGCCTTTTGCTGCTGGCGCCATCATGGCACAAGGGCATTCGGGGGTGCGGCAGCCAGGTGCACCTGCCTCACAGAGCAGGAAAAAAGGCAGTCGTTCCCTCTCCCACGTTTTGCATGCCGCCCTAGGCTGCATGGTATGAGCCGTACAGTGCAGCAGAGGAGGTGTCGAATCAGGAAGTCGGCATCCAACTGTAATGAGGTTGTGGACGCTCTTAATTGGATGGCTGGGGAATTGTAAGGTGATCTTTCTCCTTCTCCATGTCCGATGCAATCGCAGGCTTTGGCACGTGTGTGAGGTTTCGTTCCTGATCAGAAGCCCGGCCTCTCCGGAGGAAGCACCCCGTTCGCTTCTTCGTGGAGGTTCTCCTTATGACTGCAGGCCTTCCAATGAGTCTCTTGGCTCTTACCAAGCCGACCTCGTCTCCTTCCCAAATGATGTGAGCGGTTGCCCCCTTCTGACGGAGGTGCTGCCGAGTGACGACTGCCGATATCTGGAAGAGCAATCAGAGCTGATGTTAGCAGAGTGCATTAACGCTGACACGAGTGTTGAGCCATTCTGGGATCCCAAGCTGAGGTACAAAAAAAATGCTATAACAATTTGGTGCGTCGTCTACTTAGGGCTGAGAACACTACTCAGCCGAGCTGTAGCACAGGAATTCCTCCCGCGCCAGTTTGAGGATTAACAGATGCGAGGCTCGTCAATCGCGTGTTCAATGCAGCACCAGGGGTGTCGTTGATGACCGCAGAGTCTTTTAGCCGCTTCGAGGTTGTGTTTGAAGAGGAGGTGTTTGCAGACAGAGAGGTCATCGCCCAAGTTTCAGCTTTCGTCGGACTGAATGATGTCAAAGATTGCTTCCATAGGCTGCAGGTTCCCTTGTGGTTGGCTCGGTACTTTGAATGGGGGGCCGTGCCTGCGAAGTCTGTGAGGCCCCTGGATGACATTTACCCGTGTGCGGGATGTTTATGTCAAGGCTTCTCTTGGAGCCAATTCTCTGCACAGCGCGCAAGTGAATACCTCTCTCCATCAGTTCCCCCTTTGGCCCACGCACGATTGCTACATGACCGAGGTGATCCTTTAGTACTTCGTGTCGGATGTGAAGCTGGCGAGGTTGACCATCTTTGCGTATGCCTGGATAATCTGGGGGTGATTGGCACTGACCGTGAACGGGTGGTTCAGGCGATGGAGGAGCTGCGTGAGAAGTTCGATGTTTGGGCCTCGAGTTGCACGGGAGTCAGATGAGTAGTGGCACCGTTGAAGTATTAGGATGCACGGTTGAGGGAGACAAACTTCGGAGCAGAACTACCACCGACAGATTGTGGAGAGTTCATCAGGCTATCAATGGTTTGCTCCGACGTGGTCGATGCTCTGGTCCTGCCCTCGAATAAAGTGTTGTCGGTCATCCTTCATTTTGCAGACTGATGGACACAGTGACATTGAGTGTTCTGCTTTGTGTGCACCCATTCAATCATCCAGAAGCACAAGTAGTCTGTCGGGGTGTTGCGGCCAACGATCATTCATGAACTTAAGGCATTCAAAGGGCTGCTGTTCGTGTTGGTGCAAGACTGGTGGCGTCCTCGGAATCGGATGGTGCTATCGTCCGATGCCAGTCTTTGTGTCCAAGGTGGCAGAGCGTGGAAGGCGTTCCGAGAGATCACGGTTTAGGAGGGTTGCTTCACACTCGGCATGTGAGTGCGCTACAAGCTGCTGATTTTGTCACAAATTGCTGTGGAAGGTGGGTTTCTCCGCATGGCGATCGGTGCTTGGAGGCATTGGCCGAGGCAGGATGGACCACTCATAACACCTTTTGGGGTCTGGGGCTTATGGTTTAGGGTTTCGAGCTTTAAGTTCGTTTGGGGCTTGGGTTCCCTTCACTGCATCGATGAACTCATCAGGCAGCAAGTCAACCAATAGTTCAGAGTCCTTTGCACCCTCAGCTAGTCGCGATCCTTTATCAGCAATGTTAAGTTCGGATGGTATCCAATGCACAGAAACTCGAACACTTCTTGCCAAACATTCCGATGTCAACACGGCTGCAAGGTTGTAACACAAAGCTAGCTGCCGCACATCATGCCCAAAAACGAGGATCCGGCGAAAGTTGGACCGGAAAGGAGGCCTCGCATGAAAGGGAGCTTGATGGATCGACTATTGCACAAAGTGACTCCAGTCCTGAAGCTTCCAGAGAGCGAGAGCATCAGCTTCGGGAGGTGGAGATCACAAAGTTGACGAAGCCCGACGATTTCGAAGGCAGCGACAGCATGCAATCCGAGTTCAAGGGCGCTAGAGGCGAAGAGCGAAGTCGTTCGTTGAGAAGCTGGCCAAGGAGAAGTTTGCAGGAGTACTTCGACCACCGCATGGGAGAGTCCACGGAGAGCCACAGCTGCTAGAAGAAGCTGCGGTCGCAACCAAAGTGAGACTCGGAGGCTGAGTGAGCTGCACTCCTTTGTGAAGGCGATGGGCTTGAGCTTTGATTTGGACAAGGAGATCGACCATGCGCTGGTGGAGCTTTTCAATGCCGGGTTCAAGGAAGGCGATGGCCTGATGGACAGATTTCCCCCGTTTGGGCGCTTGGGAGCCAGGAAAGTGCCGAGGGCCTGGAGGTGCCTCCAAGGATGGAGTCTCGCTCGAGGGTTGCGTGCCCGCTGGGCGTGGTGCGGGATAAGCTGGAGAATGGTGGCCCGTGCTCATGTAGCCAAAGCAGTTTTCAACCTCCTCCAGGTCTCGACTTACCACCGGCCAGGTGCTTTGTTGAAGCTGAGAAAGATGGCGCTTGTCAAGCCGACGGGCCATTGGTCAATAGTGACGAGCCTTGCCGAGACCTAGTGAACAGCGAGTGGCTGAAGTTTGTTGGACCTGTCCTGGAAGTTCTCTCGCAGGGAAACAAGATGGACTATGTCTTCAAATTTGACTGTGCGAGTTACCTGAGTGCGTTCAAGGGGGCTTGCCGAGACCTGAAGATCCAGTTGGTTTCATATCAGTCGAGACATTCAGGACCGTCCATCGACAATTCAAAAGAGGGGAAATTGGCAAAGCAGGCAAAGTGTAGCACGTTACGTGGAAGCAGGGCGACCCTCAGCAGTGCAGTTGGCATGTCAGTCAGCAGAACGATGAATCGAGGACACCATGCTAGCTTTGCTGACTTCTTCGCTGGTTCTGGACGTGTCGCAAGAGCTGCTAGAGCGCTTGGTTTTTAGATACGCGCTTGGGAGCTCGAGCACGGATGCAATCAAGAACTCACTGATGTTCGCTTTCTGTCAAAAGTCAAGGCTGATATCTCCAAGAGAAAGATCCTCGGAGGCATGCTCGCGCCCCTGTGCCTAACCTTTTCCGTAGCACGTGACAGAGCTGGCGTCATCAGGACAACGGAATTCCCATATAGAGTCCCTGACATCAGCCCTAGTGACAAAGAAAAGGTCGAAACTGGAAACCAATGGTCGCAGTCAGACCTCACCCTGCTTAGTTGGCTAGATAAATGGTCAAGGGATGCCATGGATCTTTGAGCGGAGCTTCAAGACAAGGCGCATGTTCAGGTCATTGTCACAGATTTCTGTCAGTGGGGTACGAGTGGGAAAAGCGAACACGCTTTCTGCTGGGTAACATTGCCGAAGATGATGCTGGAGGACTTGCTTGGCTTTGCCATGGCAAGTCTGGTTTATGCAGTTGCACTTCATGTAAGCATGTTCAGTTTGCGGGCAAGGATGCTTCTGGAATGAACATGACAAGGGTTGCTCAACCATATCCTCATCGACTATGTCATTGCTTGGCACGTGCTGCGTTGTCCTGCTACATGATCATTCCCCATTCGTCTCCTTCTTCTATTTCCCACCCTCCCAGACCCTTGTGAACTACAACTCGGGAGTCTATGATTTGAGGTGTGGACGGGTCTCTTTGCAGATCAGCTTGGTGAAAGCCACTAGGATTTGCTGTGTCCGAATGTGCAGTGCTCCGCTTGATGTCTGGGACGCGCAAGGAGTTTACTGAGAAGTTGCGCGCTGAAAAAGAATGATAGCTCACATGAAAATGGCTTGGAGTCGGACTTGGCGAAGGCGCTTCTCCTCCACGAAGGGCAGCAGGACGATTGCCTGGTGCATGGCGTTAACCAATCTCAGACTGTTTGGGTTTTGAGGCGCAAGGGCCTGCCACTCCTTGTCGCCTTCCTTCAGGTCCGTCCTTGGTCAAATCTCTTCACACCAGGAATCCTTTTCAAGGTGGCCCCATAGAGGATTCCGAGGGCCTGCCTGAGCCCAGGCCTCTGACACAATACCTGAAGCATAAAGCCTTGCAAGGCAAAGGCCAGAATCGACCAGCCTTATGACACTTTATTATCACTGTATACGCTGTGCCGGAGTGCCGGGCATTGCTGCACAGCACAATGCAGGAAAATTGCACAAATGAAAGTCCCTGGTGCTGGGGCCCTGTGCTCGAACTCCCGAGGGTAGAAGTCCGCAATCTGGGAGCTTGTGTCCTGCGCAGGGTTTGTCAGGAAGCCTTGGGGGGCTGAGGTGAGCCAAGCCTCCAGAAGTGGTCTCAGCCTTGGCGGCAGAAGCGGTGAGGACTGCGGCGGCAATACAGCCAGCAGCTGCCTCATGAAGGGCAGTCTTTGTATCTGGAAAAGTTGCCATTCCCCATGCCCCCAGCGCAAGTACCCCAGCCAAGTGGCAGTTCAGGAGCCACGGGCCTGGTGCAATGCTTTGTTTGGAGTCTTGGGCAGGCCACCAAGCACTTCCATGTGAGGCTGCAACTCGTCAAGTGGCGGCACTGGAAGTGGGCCTTGCCTACAAGAAGTCCACGTCTGCAAGGTTATCTGGTGTAATTATCCTTACAGGCTGGTCTGAGACCGCGGCACCATCGCAAGGCCTGCCTTAGATTGCGGCTGCCAGAGCCTCTCGCCTCATCGTGACCTTTGAAAAGACTGGAAATCGCTGCCCAGCCGCACACAAAGGTGGATAATGAGCCGGATAGAACCTCGGTCTCGAGTAGGACCCCGCAAGACAGGCATCTTCCACAAAAAATGCACCCGTTCGTGAGAGGCTGCAACCAAGACCAGGAGCGACAACCCCGAACGTAGTAGTGCAGAACCTTGGCAAACCACCGCGCGTCTGGACTTGACATGTACCCCTCAAACAGGGAAGTGCTCACCGCGTCATCATTGAGGAGAACGACGTGCCGGGACTGCACATCCAAAGCTCTAGAGAAAAAAAGCAAGTGACCGTTTTTCATGCTCATCCTCAGAGCTGCTCATACCCTCGTAGACGGGTTGTACCGTTGAAGGCTTGTAAACTAGGCTGCCACTTGCGATGCTGAATTGTGAGTCATCTCTGCATGCACTTCAGCCCAGTTGCCCACTCGATGCCGCTGAGAAATGCTACGCTTCGATGACGCCTAGGACCCAAAGCCCTGAATGCATTTTTGGTACGGGGTCTGAATCCAAAAGCTGCAGGCCGGCGATTACTGTAAGATCTGTTTCGGGAGTGTCACGGTAGGCCTCTCTACCGACGCAAATTTGCAGCCTGAGCAAGTAAGCTTCCGTCTCGACTGCTGCCACATCTTCCTCATCACGCTGCAGTGAGGTGACGCAGGTTTGCAAAGCACTTCACGCTTGAGGATTGCAGCTTGGAATCGGCTGCAGGCGAACCGGCGGCGACGGGTCCAGGGTAGCGAGCATAGTATTCCTAGCAACTAGCATATGCCTACATCTGATTCTGTAATACTCTGTATGGAAATGCTGGTGCTGCACTGTGTCCCTGATATAACCACGAAGAACGGTTCGGCATCCGAATCCGAACCCTCCGTTTTGTTACTCAGCCGTGTGCAATGCAATAGTGCAAAAGTTTGAGGCCAGTGTCTGGCCGCAGCATCTGCACAGCTTCTACCTCGGGTCTCACACAAAGACATTTGAAGACATGTGAAGAAGCCGAACAATCTGCTCCAGACCAAGAAGCACATTGGCGAGCAGCAAGAAGCTCCAAGCAGGCCATCTGTCGCTCAACCTATGCGGAGCAGACGGGCTTCGCATCGCTCTCCCCATCGCTCTGCAAAGTCACCATGCGAGCTCTGGCGGGCTCTGGCCTGATCATGTGACTCATGGGGACGCCGGCTATGGTCCTCCTTGTGCCGAACCCAGGCATGCCGCCCCTCGCCCCAAACCTCCAACTGATCGGAGGACCGGAGAACCTGGACTCGAAGCAACCACTCAGAAAGTGGATGAAAGGATCCTTCAACCACTTTAACCCTGTTGTCTCCAGGCCTCGGCCAATTGCGCCTGGTCTTGCATCCAGACGCGCAAGCGTCGGAACATGACGAAAACCCGCAAGGGCACGAAGCGATCCTGGGTGTATGGGCAGCTGCAGTCAAATTCAGTCTTCATAGCCATGCCAGCTTGTTCACCAAGAGTCTCTCCGTTGGCGCACATGTCTCCGAAGGAACGCATCGTTTGGCAGGTTCTCCGGTCCGAGCCTCATCCCACCGCGGTTCTGCACAAGGATGTTCTTTTTTTTAAGTCTGCTTGAACAAAGCCAAGCCAGAAGCACAGCGGGTCAAATTCAAACCTCTGATATGCAAATGAGGATCCAGTACTCGAACGACTCTCGAACGGCCCTGTGCAGCTCCTGCTGCCAGTTCGACGCCTGCAGGGCACCTACATCTGAGCTGTGTTTGCTAGTATCCGTCGAGCGTGTCAACAAAATTCTCAGAGCCACCGTCCTCCGCTGGCTCTGGTGGAGTCTCTTCAAACTGCAATCGGTTCAGCTGCGCCCAAGACACCTGCAAAGCCCCGTCCAAGAAGCACTCTGCCGGTCTGCGCTCTCAAGCACGCAAGGCGTCAACATCCATAAATTGGCAGCAAGGACTGACAACTCCAAACCTGCAGCCGCTGTGTCTCAATTCGGCGAGTTGACACCAATGTGCGGACCTTCGAGGCATTACCCAGCACTGACGTAACATCCAAACTTCCACCTTCGCTGACCCTGAGCCCGAGGCGTCTTATCAAACATCAGGGCTTCCGCTTGAACAACCCACTCCAGACACGAAAAGACCGGCAAGAAGTGCCGCGAGGACATGCAACTGCACACTTTGGTGAATGTCTAAAATGAACTCTGCCGTGAGTGCTGCCATGCACGAAGGCGTTGATAATGAATCTGTGACCGAGCGAAATTTGAGGCTTCTGCGGCAGATGCTGGGTCAGCGAAACGCACCAGCCAGGAAGCGGGTCCTTCCCGCTCTTGGACGTCAGGGTACCAAGTGAGAAAGTGCGACAACTAAGAAAAACACGGAGCAAGAGAAACGGCGAGAGAGCGTCCTCGTGACTGCTTCAGCTGGTGGACGCTCTGGACAGTGCAGCCTTGCTTTGACATAGCTGCCTTGGCAAAGCCCATGACTTCAGAGTTGACGGATGCGACACAGAAAAGCTGGGAGGATACACTGCAACGACTCACCTAGCATACAGTAAGTGCTAGAGATAGTTCTGCCATCTTGCAAGTCCTATGCCATCTGGCATGACGTTTGCCTTACCCTACCTTGGGCCTTGGGCTTTCTGAAGTGCAAGCAGAGCCTCGGAGAGCTGCCCTGCAGTTGTCTTCCGTGGCACGGGTGAGACGACCACGGAGACACCATCCCAGTTTGGTCCAACCGGCCCAGGGCCGCGGTAAGGTAGCTGCTGTGGACCCCAGCCCAAGCCCACCATGTCCAGCAGGATTTCTGCCTCCTCCTAAAGGTTCAAATCTGCATAGTACAGACAGTTGGTTGGAAAGAGGCCCGGGTGACCGTAGTCCTGGGCAACTTGCTCCAGTAGGCCGCGCCATCGGGGTAAGTTCAGCGTCAGATCTTCAGTGGTCAAATACCTCTCCAGCAAGAATGTGCAACTTGCTGCTACGATTTCTTCCAGAATGGCGACAACGGGATGTGCAAATTGGATCCTCAACTACCGGCGACACCCGCTTGAGGCGGTCTTGAGCTTGCAGTAAGCCGCCAAGAGCTTGTCCAAGCCACCATCGTAGATCTCTACAGCTGCAATGTGTGGCCTCAGTTGATGCTGCACTGCTAAATCCAATGGCACGCTCTCACGGAAGTCCCCTGCACATCTTCCTACGAGCTCCTGTTGTGAGAAGGATTACACCCAAGCTTGAAGCTGGACTTATAAGCTAGATGCTTGAACGCCCCAAGCTTGCAGCAGGGGGCAGGAAGTCATTGCCCACCAAACAGCACATCGCCACAAAATCTGCAAGCAATCGATTCCTCGGCTGGATATGGGAGGGGTAAGTGATGCGGCGCTCTGATCTCTGTCGTTCTGAGAACCGGACGGCGCGCAATCTGGAAATTGGCTGCAAAGCCATGAGCGGAGGGCTACAATGCTTAGCATTTCGTAGTCCTCCAGGCTTCACTCAAATACATATGTATGTATAGAAGGTATGTATACGCACATATATATATATATGTATATAATATGCATACATGTACGTATATCTACTTGTATGTATGGACACGCGCTCTCGCGTGAGACTCTCACGCACTGGTTTCAAGCCGTTCTCACCTTTGCGTCAACTGTTTGGCTACACACGCTGGACACGATTTTTTGCAGTCCTTCTCGTATAAAGCTCCAAAATGGGAGGACACTCCACGTGAGTGCTCAGTTTCAAACCAAAACATGAAGACGCTCCACGAGGGGGCTCGAATGCGAGGACGCACACGCGAGAGGACGATTTGTAGCCCAAATGCGAGAACGCCCAACGCCAAGCCAAAGTGCAAGGACGCTTCAGGGGAGATGAGAAAGCCCCATAATGGCACGTTGAGCCAAAACGTGCAGACATTCCGCACGGGAATGCAGCAAAGACGCGACGCTGCCAACAGGAGGGTGTGACGTCGAGCCAAGCAGCAACATCAAGGCAACGACAAGTCTGCACTTCGCGATAAGATCTGGTAACAACAAGCGACATGAGAATAACAAAGCGGGCATATGGCAGGTTGCCAAAATCATGGTCCCTTTCTGTTCACCCCAAATACAAGGGACCGGATCCAACAACACGTTGTTTCACAATACACTATATGAGCTACAGTCAATGTCCCATCTAGTTACATATTAGGGAGTTCCCTGAACGACCAAAGAAATCCCATCTTCTCTTAATGGTCCCTTGCAGTAGTTCAGATAGCAATAACAAGGAGGTATAGCAACAACAATAACAAAAACTGTCAGCATGGTAATGGCTATGCTCATTATTATAACAGAAATGACCAGGAATGGCGATACACGTAGCAATATGGAAAATACCAACAAACGGCCGTCTTGATCATAGTCAACGTATTGTTAATGGCGCGAAGAATAACAACATGAAGACAACGCCTTGTTAATGGCGCGAAGATGCGCGAAGAATAACAACATGAAGACAACGCCTACGACGGCAGCGAAGTATACATCGCGGCAGCGCCGCCGACGGCTACAACGACAAAACGTTGTGGAGGGGACATGGCAGTCACGACAGATGCGCGCATGCAACTTGCCTGCTGAATAGAGGTAGGGGATGTTTTAATCTTATTGCTCCTTGTACATATTGTGCTAACTTGTTCTGCGGGGGAATCAACTAAAAACCCAAAACCCGAAAGCTTGCTTGGAGCTCAGTCTAATGTTGCCCCTCAGTTACTAATCTTCATCCCCTCCAGTCTGGAAAATGTCCTGACTACTGCGATTATCTAGACCCTCCTATTACTAAATCGCTTGTTTGGGTCATTGGCCTGGCTAATTGGGGACCATCTATAAAGTACAATCCTCGAGTCGCTCTTCTCTCTTAAGCCCACGTCACTGTATTCCTTTACTATGCTCGTCTGTGTAAGCCATAACCTGTCGCTGTAAGCAAACACTCGTTGTGATACCCCCCTTTAACATCGTGAGCATAAGGCAGCTGTCTCTTAAACTAACTACATTATGAACATTCAATTTAATGAAAGCAACTGCTGAGAACCTGACTCTGATACGAGTGCTTTGGTCTTGACGATATGAATAGGACTATTAAAAGAACAACCATGGTAGCCATAGTCACAAAAACCAGTACAGCGTACAGCGACCAGCGAAGGATCGCACTACTACTAGCAATATGGATAAGGAGTCGGGCTACTACTGGCAACCATCAGAAGAAGGGAAACGCCATTAGCAGTTGTAATGAAAATCATAGTTATTGCCATGAAAGACACACCAGCTTATACCTAATAACGAGGACAACAAGAATCCATTATTTACATGGTATGAACTCGCGAAACAATAAGAAAACAAAGCCAAGACGTCATGCACCCAAGAAACCAGCAGCGGCCAAGAACGCAGAAAGCCGACCAGCCATGATGTCATGAAGTCACCAAGCAAAAGAAGGCAACAAATCCCAAATCCAAGAACTCAAAAGTCAAATGTGGTTTGTCAGTTTAACTGTGGACGGCAGTCCACGTACAGTACGTGGCGGCAATCCAGTGACTGCTCTCCGCACACTGGTCGCTAGAAGGAATGACACCAATGCGTGAATGCTCTCCTCAGCCATGGGCCCCGCAGTCGCTGCTGGCTCAGGCACTGGTGCCGCGCCGTCTGAGTCCACCGCCGCTTGGGTCTCCGGGGCCTTCTGGCATTGAGCTTGACATCCTGAAGTGTTTTAAAACCAAGTCGCCGCGCCTGCGACTGCCCAGTGTCCGTACGGACCCTTTTTTCGTAGTTGGGCTTCGTTCGCAGCAGGTAGACATGCTCAGACTCGCACACCAGTCCGAGAAACACCAGATCCTAGCAACTTTGTTTGCAAGCCCTCTGGTGTGTTGTTCTGAGCTGCGAGAGCTGCTGAAGTTTCTGCCAAGCGTCTGCATCATTACTGCAGAGACAATGAGTGTGCTCAGGATGGTGGCGGATCACATCCATGATTTTGTGCTCGCCTTCGCCTTGGGGTCTGCTTGCTGGCTGCCCTCTCAAACCTGAATGAACAAGTGAGAGAGCCTGGATCTCGGTCGCAAGAGATGACAATGCTTAGTCCTTGTAGGTCTGGCGCCGCAGCCTCGCAGACTCCGGTCCAACAAAGCTTCTCGGAATACCGTATTGCATCCTCTACTTGCAAGGACTTAGTTCCGAAGCCATGAACCGCCTTCAAAGAATTGGAGTTGTCAGACTGCGCCAAACAAAGGCGGATGAAACATGGATCCAACATTGGATGAGATTGCCTGGGTAGCGGCCCAGCTTCGGAGCCGATCCGACAAGCGCTGCATGAAAGGAGTCCTAAGCTAAGGCGGCTAAGGCTGAAAATCTTCCAAGCATCGAGGTCAGTGACCAGCCGTGGTATTCTGCGCATTTCAGCTTTGCTCGCATTCTATAAACTTAACTTCTTGCTGTTGCAGCACCCAGGCGTGATGGCATTTCGATCCTCAAAAAGTGAGGCCGCGCAGCGTTTTGGGGTGTTTTGAGGCAGACTGGGAAGCTTGGACTTCAGAGCCTTCTGAGGCAAAAGCAAAAACATCAATGACCGCGTCAATGCCATCCGCCTCTGTCTCTTGGGCTTTTCGAAAACGCCTGCCAAAGGTGAAGCTTGTGACCCCAAACCTGAGATGCTGGATTACAGAAGCTAACACCTGATGGTCCGCTTGCACTTGCGGTCTCAGACACATCTCCCAGACAGTCTTTCAAAGCAAAGGGACGCATCGGCATGTTGCACTACAACTGCTCCAGCCTAGATCGCTGCTGGTTCATCTTCGCCCTAGGAGCTACTCCATCCAGCGCGATGTAAAGCAGCACCTCCACACATAAGGTGATCTTCTAGGCTGGGCCTGCAGCCCCTGCTCACATATTGATAATCCATCTGGAGCCTTTGGCGTCACCAAGGACAGCAGCACAGCCAGCTGCGCCTTGAGCTGCTTAACTGCAGTGGGTAGTGCGTTGTGGGCATTGTGAAAAAAGGTTAAAAAGGTGGGTCGGTAAGGCATTGCCTCGATGAGTTGAAAGAGATATTCTTCCTGCTCCTGGAGCGTCCAGTCGTTCACGCAGGTGTGGACAACACCGTTGAAGTCCAAGTACCTTGCTTGACACAGCCATCCATTCCTGGCAATGCCCAGACTTGACGCCTGCATCCGTCGGCGCTATTGCAGCAGAGCAGCAAGTTGTCAAACCTCAGCGAAACGAATCGTCTGCAATAGGCCGGGTCATTAGCCCTATTTGTGTCCACGCAAAGAATTGATGACAGGTGGCCGTGCGCTACACGGCCAAGATCAACAACAGGATTTTTCTGCACAACTCAAAACATTAACATCGAACTTGTTCGGGGACTGCTCCAACAGCCGACCGGTGCAACGCAATCACGTTGACCGTATTGCCGAGAGGCTCGTAAGGGGGTCCCGAGGTTTTCGCTCGCAAGTGAGGCACTCTGCGCACCGCCCATCGGTAGAAGCCAGGTACGCCCATTGCTAGCTAGCAGTGTTTACAAACTAGGCGGAGAAGTACCTTCCTCGGTCATTCGAAGAATCTCAAGGCCTCAGCCAAAACCATTCTCTCACAAATGTCTCCGTTCTGTGGGCTGGAAAGAAAGTAGGTCGAAAGCTAGGAACGTGGAAGGAATGAACCCGTATCAATGCCAAAGCAAAATGCCTGTAGTCGAGCCGAATCAACACAAGGCATGGACGTCACCATTGTTTGGTTCAGCACTGCACTAGCGGATGCAAGCGGCAAGCGAGACGGTCAGAGAGAGAGAGAGAGAGAGGAGTTTTGGAGATGAATCCTTTTTGCATTCGGAGCGCGAAGCTGGCTCTTTCTTCCGAGCGTCTCACATCCAAATGAATGTGAGATCCACAGCCGGCACAACTCGGACATGTTTGGGATGTCGATCTTATGCTACGTGTGCTGCAATTGGCGGAGGTGTCTGCCTGGAACCATTGAGGACATCCGGCTGGTGAAACGGTGGGTAGGCATTGACGTTTACATGCCAGTGACACTGGAGTGAGTACACAAGTTTGCAACCTGCATATTTCAAGCACAAAATAATGAAGCACGCCTTCTCTTGTAAGCTTTAAGGCATATCTGGTATGCGCTTTGGCCCTTCACACAGCCGCTTTGCCAGGGCTTTGTAGTCGAAAAGCCCTGGAAGATCAATCAGATTACTGCAGTTGGGCTTGCCGGTATGTCAGGCAAGTTACGACCAACAGTTGCAACTCTTTCGCTCCACCTTGTGCATTGTCTAACTGCGTCATAATGAGCTGACAAAACTGTTGAACTCGAAACGCTTGCTTATAGACTGGTTTTCTCCATCAGCAACATGATGCTGCGACGACTGTCACAACCAAAGCCATGCTGCTTGTGACGTCAGTACTCGTCAGGTCACAACCAACCGGAAAATTGAAGACTTCTACTTGACTGGCCTTTCTCGTCAACCTCCGCCTCTCTCAGGATAGCATCAACCTGAAACACGCCGTGAAGGGGCAGTCAGGGCATCCAAGTTCGCCCGTGTAAGATTTGCCCTGTTTAACCCTTGAATGGCCGCCCCGCCTCATGCTCTTGCATGGGATCTCCGAGCGAGGTCAGCATCTCCTGCTAAGTGACTCCGCTGCAGCGTCTCTGCACGAGGCATTGGGCACTCCCTCTCACAGCAACTTAGAGCCCCAAATGCTCAAGCGAGTCCTTCTTTTCCGTTAGCAGTGCAAGATCTGAAACTCAAGTTGTGAAGGGGTGCATGGCTCACGGTCAGCATGCAGCTTCCACACCCGTTGTTATGTTATCAAGCAATGTGGAATCGGAATCACACGTGCTGCAAAAGCCGAGCCAAAGCCAGCCTTGAACTTCTCGCGGCTCATGATGCCAGTGTCCTCCAGATCAAAGACCTTCCAATGGCTCTTACCGCGTGCCAGCTTGCGCCTGCAATTCAGAAGTTGCCATTTTCACAGAGGCCTTGCCTGGAAGGCTTTCAACAGCGTATCCTCGGTGGTTGGCGTCCTATAGTTGCCTTTGAAGAAGCGGATGAAGCCCTCGACCTGATTGCAAGCGGCTGCTTTAACACACCTGACTTCCTAAAGAGAAACAGACGCCACGAGCCACCGTTTTCCGCTCCTTGCATTCTCGTCCAAGGTGCATCCAAGCCCACCTGCGGGACTGGTCTCAGCATTTCCGCCAGCTCCTTCGATGCTCAAACATTTCTTTGAACATCTTTGAACACACGCGAGATCAACATTCGGACGTCCTCATCGGTTGGATTCTGCCCAAATGCCCGGAAGAGGATCCCAACCTGCACTTTCAACTACGTCCAAGCAGTTTCTGTCCCTTTCCATCAACACTACAGGCTTGCAGTCACTAACCCAACGCCGAAGCATGGCGACAAGGCTAAGCAGGCCTGCTGTGGGTTCAGCCTGCCTAGGTCCACAAGGAAAAACTGCAACAGAACATGACGGCGAGACGAGGCTTCTACTAGTTTTGTCTAGAAAAAACTAGTAGAAGGCAAAACCGACCGGCATAGCAAACTCGGTGCTTGGCCAGTCTTGCTTTGATCAAGCAACTTGAAGTTGTCAACGACTTTCTCGTACTGATCCTGACATCAAGGACTTAGTCAGCCTGCGTCTCTTCCTTTCCCACAAGCATCCACTTGAACGGAAGCACCAGCACGAGCACCAGCACGGGCACAAGCACCACCGTCGTCATTAATCACTCGCAGATCTGAGCTGGCTATGGAGCCGACGATGACAACATACGACAACGCTTTCTGGCACGGCATGCAGAACGATTGTCCAAGCAAGGGCAATTGCACCGATGGCAACCGCGATCATCGCAACGCCTGGTCATGTTTTCAATCGCATCTATGATGTAGGCAAATCCAACGTAAGGATCCACAAGCGATGATGGTCACAAGGCTCGCGACCAACCCCGTGATCCCTGTGACTGTTGACACCTTTGAAATACGTTGAGGATGTAAAGGGCCCAAAACCAATTTCTGAGGAGAATGGCGACTCCGCAGCACATCCATCACCACCAGGAGTTGGTTTCGAAGTCCATGGGTGTTGAGACTAAAGGTTTGGGCGTCGCGACACGCCAGGATTACCGAGATGGTTGTCACTTTCGAAGTCAGATGCTGCAGGAATCATTAGTTTCGACGTCAGATACATATTTCTTGCGGATTGCCATTGGCCATGGGAGGCCTGTGTCAGGTCAGCCTCTGGATCGTCCAACTTGATCTCGAACCCTGCGCCTGGCTGTAGTGCAAGGTAAGAGGATCCCAACTGCTGAAAAATGACATGCACGAATATGCATGCATCAGCGCCACCTATCTATCCTACAACCTCGAAAACACACGGCTTTCACGGAGGCGCGCCAGCCATCGCAAAGCCGCGGCGAGTTTCACCTGCATTGCAACGGCGCACCGACCAGAAGTACACGCGGGTGCACTATAGCAGAAAACTTTGCAGGGACCTGCGGACCATTTGGACGCAAGCGGTTTTGAATTCCCTTTTGAGCCCGCGCACCATAAACATCCATGAACGTGTCGGGATGCCATGGAACATCTGTAGCTACATCACGACTGGCCTCCAAGAAAGAAAACGCAATAAGACACTGACCACCAGCTCCAAGGGCTTTTTTTCTCAGAGCGAGTAGGACAATCCGTTTTGAAAATAAAATGAAACAGCTACATGGGAGCTTCTCAAAATGGGGGCCCGTGGAGACGCTCGGGATGTATGGAGCTTTCGGATTGAATTGTAGGGGTCCCTGTGATGATTCTATGACGGTGATGTTGAGAAACTCCCACATTCTAAGACATCCGAGGGCTTCAGCCATCTTGAACGAAACATGTGGGGTGATGCCTTTGCTTCCTTCCTAATTACATGAGGTATCCATGCCTGTCCACATCCACATCGAGAAGAAGATCGATGTCATAGAAACCACTCGTGGCTCAGAAGCGTGCAATGTGAACATCTTCCAAGGGCTAGGCCTGCAAAATGAAAGCGCCACGTCATGCAGATTTTCCAGATTTTGCAGCTCGTACTTCCTATGGTGGTTGAATCGTTGAATAGACTGTTCCAGGAGCTTGGAGACAAAGGTGTGAGGCTTCTACTTGTACTACTTGTGCACAGAAGTATGGCCTCACCAACTACGATGCCGTCGTCCACCAGCTCCTAGTGGCCAGCAGCTTCAGCAACAGCTGCTAATGTTTGAAAAGCCTTTGTTTCACGAACATGCTCGACTTGGAAACTCAAAGCATCAGGGAACTCAGTCCAGTCCTGCGTGTAGGGCGGCACCGGCGGAGCCGCTCGGGAGTCCTGGACAAAACTTCTGTCCCTTTCAGCCTGCCGTCGCATGTCGCGAGCTGCTAGGCAGAGGACCTGGAACCAGGGATGCTCTAGCGCTGCGGAGGCGGTAGGTCTCTGGTTTTCTTGGTACCTGAAGCAGAGGAATCCGTCTCGGGAATGGAATACTTATGCATCTTCAGGAACTTGCACTCAAGGCCACGGTGTCTAAATTGCAGGCATGCCGACACCAGTCTGACGGAACAACACCGCGAAGACTGTTTCTGAGCATCCCGCGCAAGCATTCGCATGACCTGAATGGTTCGACAATCACAATAGCGCTATGCTTGCTTCTCTGGAATTGCGCAGGTCGTTGGAAGAACATACCAATGCATTAGACTCAGCCTTTTCGTAACTTGGGAAAGCTTTCTGCAGCTTTCAAGGCTCTTGTCCCCCCTTAGACCAATGCAAGGTCGGCAGCATCACTGTTTTCTTGGAAAACCTCCTTGGAGAAGTCCACCTCAAGAAGCCAGATGATTTCATATTTAAGGCGTTTGGAAGGCACAGAAACGCACAAAACTCGCCAAGCAATGCAATGGCGGCCTTGGCCACTTTCAGCCTTCGCCGAATCTGGGCCATTTTGGGGCTGCCAACCCAGTTCTCGCCAGCCTCACCACGGATGCAACAATTCTAGCCAATGCCAAGGAAAGAATATGCACCGATTCTGCATGTGTCGCGATCCAATGGAGCAAGAGGTGACAGGTGATCGAGCCTCATCATCAAACATATCATCGTGAAACGGAAATTTTCCTGGCAGCAGGAATGGATGCGACAACGCAAAATCCCATCGCACCTACCTCACCAACCACAAGCGGCATCAACCCAGGGCCTGTCAACAATCTGTACAGAATCACCCCACAGGCAAAAATGTCCGACAGCGGGGAGTACCTGGCACAGTTAGGAGATGATTCACGACCACAGATTAAGAGCAGGCTTTTCAGCCACCAACCGTTACTAACCGATTTGAAATCTGCTGGACATATCGTCGCTGTGAACAGGCTGTGTTCTGGACTGTTTGGGAGATGTTGTACAAGGACTCCAAGGGGATGAGGATCCACATCCTGAAGGCGGACCTAGCTTTCAGGCTGCTCCTCACGTTTGGCTCGCTAAGTTTCGCAACTGCTCCACTGCAGCCTCCTGGATGCTGAGCTTCGGAATGCCTAGGTGTAACGTACATACTTTGGGCCAATTCTAGCAGTGCGGTTCGGGCTTCTGTAGCCAACACACACGTGAGACGAAGTCAACCTGTAGACCCTTGTGGTATATGGCATGTGACCCCCAAAAGCCCCCGACAAAACAAACTAAACTTAAATGGCTTTCGCTCATGTAATCCCCTTTTCATTTGCGTGGTGGAAAAGCAACCAGAATGCCACCGGCATTTTCTTTGACTCGCAGGAGGGTGGTCAGGATATGCAACAATGAGCTGCGAACAAATGCAAGGGCAGCAGGCATGAGGCATGGTCCGGCCAATCAATGCAGGGGCACTTCCCAGCGTAAGCTTCCTAGCAGAAACAGCTACAAGGCTGAAGCTTCAAGACCACCTAGGACCTAGGTGCAGCAGCTGAGTCATTGCTTGCATCGCTTCTGCAGGTGTAGATTTGCTTGGCACATGTTTCGTGCCTGGGAAATGTACTGGTCAGTGCCAACAACATCCTGCAAGCGGAGATGATTGGGACAGACAATACTGGCACTGACCATGACATTGCCTTGGCTGAGGCACCGGAGGGACACCAGGATTCCAAGGTATCAAAGTCGATCACCTTGGATCACGCGCGTTTCTGTTCAAGGCTGAGCGTTGTAGCTATAGATTCCGCATGCGCTGCTCCAACCAGCAAAGCTGCCTTCACAGCTTGTGGAGGCAAACTTGACCTCAAGGGTACGCGGCAGTCGTGCCACATTCTAGTCAATGTCATGTTCCTCCTGATTCAAAATCAGCGATGTCCAAATGATGAATTTTATTCCACATGCCCATGTTGGTGCCATGCCATGCCAGCAGGCTAACAGACTCTTGGATTGTGGCTTAGATGACTTGGCTTCTCCAGCCGAGTCAAGCATGACGTTTTCCAACTTTAAATCCTGCCGCAGGAGCATTGAATTCCGGCAAGCACACTCTGGAATCTAATTACGCAACCGATTCTGCAAGTGAAACACTTCGCCCGAAGCACAGCATAAGCGCATGCGGCACACTTGAGTAAGCTGCCAGACTTGCCTTATGCACCGCACAGTGCGAATGCAGAAACACCAACGACCTGGCCACGCATTTCATATTCGCTGTAGAGAACGAAATCTTGCTTTTGCCTTGTCTGAATAGCCCAGCAAGACATGCTCGGCTGTACTCTAGCAGTTGCCGCATGATCTCCCGAGTGGTTGCCACCTTGGCATACACCACATCTGGACTTGTTGTTTTCTTGCCTGGCCAAACATAATCGATGGCTTAGCCAAGCCAGCTGAATCAGCATAGGTTCAAAGCCTACTCCACGTCACTTAGCCCGGTGCGGGTATCTTTCGCATCTGCTCGAGAGTCTCGAAGAGATCAAGGCCGCCAACCTGAACAAAGCAAGCAAGCAGCGTGGCACAGCCACTCCTGAGACGTCGTCGGCTCGTTTCGGGCAAAACCCTCTCTCAATGTAACCACTGTGGCATTCTCAAAGACGCGCGCTGTCACGGAGGGCGATGTCTCAAAAGCAAGGCAAACCTCTCAGACCTGCTTTTTCGGTTCTCAGAATTGCAAGTCAAATGCGCATGAAGTGCGCTTAAATGCAATAAGCGAAACAGAAGAGGCAAGCTAGCTTGCTAACTTGCCCAAAGGTCACGTGTTGCAACCTAGTCGCTCTTGTCAGAGCTTTTCAAAGCTCCAGCAAGTGTGTCACAGAAGTTGGCGGGCTACAAGTATGGTGCGTGGCGGCTTTCAAGCTGCAACGGCAGTAGCCAACACGCTCAGAGGGCGCATCAGTGTCCGAGCTTCACCTGCGCCGGGCTCAGCGTTCCTTCCTATCCAAGTTTATTCCCTTCCTTCGCTTGGTTGATTGTTTGAGCATCTCAAGCTGGAGTCCTGTTGAGCCAGGTCACGCGCGACTCTGTGCAAAGCTTGCTCGGCAAAGCGGGCACGTAGCCTCTGCATGGAGACTGTTAGTAGCCTGCAGAACAACTCCTTGCCAATTGCAAGCCAGGCTCTGACATGGCGTGCCCTGACAGCGACCACTCCGCAATACATTCCTGCAGGCATGCTGAGGCAAGCTGCACTTGTTGAACACCTTCTTCACTTGGCCTCACAAAAGCCATGGCTGCAGGGCAACACTGCCACAGCGCAGCCCTCCTCCAGACCATTGCACGGCAGACACAACACTTTGGCTGGCATGGAACAAGCGACTTGCCCGAATATATTACTGTTTGACCCTATTGGGTAACGATCAAAAGGCCTGGCATTCTGCCAGGTCTTGCCAGTCCTGAAATTCCTGGTGGCAACACCAGCACACTGCTGGCGTTTGAAGATGCTTCTGGAACATCGAAGGCCCAATAAGGCCTCAACATCGCCCCGTGTGCACAACATATGCTCGACATGCGCATGCATGAATATCCTCCAGAAGGCCCCTTCACCCAATGCCCTGGCCTGGGTTGATCGTTCTACGGGGCGTCACCGTGGCTTTGCGGCCAGCGTGGCTGTCCCGCCGTATTGACATCCTTACATTGGCGCCGTGTGCTATATGTGCCTTTCTAGCAGAACACCAGCTCTGGCTTCCATAGCGGTCAACACAGATCTGTCGGAATGGCGCGGGCACGAGCAGTACCAAAACACTGGCAACATCCAGGCAGCCGCAACATGCCGCAACTGTGTTTCCTGCTGCGTCAGCACTATCAACAAAAATCCCTTCTCCCGCCTCCATGTCCGCACATGCCGAGCCAAGAAGCCATTCAGAAGAGGTGGGCTCTGGAAAGCCCACATCTCAATTTCCTGAAATGCCAACATCCTTTGCGCCTGAGTCTCACGTCACGATGAGCCAAGGCCTCACGCTGCAGGAGTTAACCTTTACCTGCGCAAGAAGCCAGTTGCGCCGGAAGCCAGTTGCGTAGCCCTGGTGGAACTCCCCAGGAGGCTGGGAGCTGTTTTCAAACCCCGCCCTACCCCCTCCTCTGCCCAATTTTGGGTGGAGGCTCTTCCCCTCACCCCTTTTCTCTCAAGGTTGCGCAGTGCTTGCACGCGGTTCATCTCCGAAAGAAGGTTTTCTTTTCTTGTCCTTCCTCCTTTTCCGCCAACTGTTGCCCGGCCTGCTCTCACCCTGCCCTCGAAGAGCAGCTCTAGCCCACCCGAGGTGGTGTGCGCAAACGTTATGTAATAATACGGCTGACGATCTATGAGTATTCAGATATCTGACGCTGCCAGGCGTCAGCTGCATCTGACGCAAAGTCTGCTGGCCCTTGGTTGAGTCCCATCGTCACAAGTGACCATGAAGCAGTTGACCTCCTGCTAAACCACTAGACCTTGACAAGTCCAGGGACCGCAGAGCCATAGGCAGCTCTTGCCCAGATTCTGTGCTGCTCGCCTTCAACGGCATCCTGACCAAAGAATGGCCAAAGAAAGGCCAATGGTCTCTGGTTAATGCTTTGACCAGGCCTGCGCAATGCTTGGGGGCAGCTTGGCAGTGAGTTGGTCCAAGGCAGCTGCAATCCTTGTGTCAAATCAAAGCTTATCACAGCAAGTCCCTTCGGCTAAACTGCAAGGATGGCTTGTGTGCTGGCGGGCAGCAGGAAAATGGCTGCCAAGTGCTGTGCAAGCCAGCAAATAACACCTGAGAATGTCCCCTCCAAATTGCTTTGCTACCAGCAAAGTGTGAGAAGAAACAGAGCCCCAGAAAATGGCTGCTGCCACGCTGCCAAGCGCTGTGCTATGGTTGGCTCGGGCTGCCTGACGTGTCCAAACTTGGGGTTGACCAAGTTGTGCTGAATGGCAATACGGGACAATGCGGGTTCATGGGGACGTGCAAATGTTCTCTAAGGAACCGGCAACTGCCTCTTGCATGCCGTGGAATCAAGGAGGCACTAGTGCGACCAAACCGCCAGAAAGTGAAGGCAGCCAGCTGCAGCAAGTTGAAGGCAGGAAGCTCTCTCCTGCGGGGCTCTGGTTCTGACTCAAACGATCCCTGGAAGGAGTCGGCAAGCTGTCCCGCATGGTTGTAGCCGCAGGTCGCCTATCAGAGCGGACCACTAACAAGTAGTCTCTCAAATTCCCTAGCTGAACAACCGCATTGCCCTCTGCCCTATGCATTGCCCTCACTGGCCTGGGCTCCTCGCATGTCGCACAATTCACATTTCAGGCAGCAAGAGCAGACTTGAGCCAAGCTCTTGCTTCTGGGACGGTTTTCGCGACTGATCACTGTCCACCACAATTCACAAAGTTGCTGCGCTGCATGCTTGGCCCAACTTGTGTGAAGTACTGAAAGGTCTGCACTTTATCACGACGCAAGCGCCTTTTCCATGACGATGTAAAAGGCTGTGGGGTCCTGCATACCCATAACAGGCACCATGCACCTGAGGAATGATGCGCTGCCAGTCCTCCATGACCTCGTAAATCTTTGCTACCCCGAGATTCCCCGGCAAGTTCAGCAAGAACCTGACAAGCAAGGGGCCCATCCGAACAGTTTTTCAACAGAAGCTTCAGCTACATACCGACATCTTAACTAAGCTCGGTCTCCCGGCTCGGTGTTCTGCCGCCATTTTTTCTCATCCTGTTCAAGCTGAACATTGCAACACTCCTTCAGATGTAAGCACTCGCATGCAGTGCCAAACGAACAGCCACGCACGAAAGCAATAGTCAGAATTATGGTCATGGTCACTCTGTTCTAGGTATTCCTCTACTGCCCCGCCTGTCTGCTTCTGAAGCAACTGGGCTTAAAGCGAACTTTGACCACTACCTTGGGCAGTCTTTGCAAGATAGGCCGGTCTGACGGGCCGATTCAAGCTGGCAAGAACTGGCTGTAGCTGCAAGAGTCTCTGGCTGCCTAGTTGTTACTGCGTACAGTTGGCCAGAAGCTTCATGGGAGCTTGATCCCCACAACCACTTGGGATACTTCCAGGACTGGCGGCACGTGGTATATGCAACGTCCAAGCTCGATGCCTCTTGCTTGTCCGATTTCCGAACTGCAAAGTTCACCTGGCTTGTACTTCATGGCTCAGCTCCCAGGGGAGCCATGTTGCAAACAGCTAGAGGCCTTCATGTATCGATGCGTTGACGGCATAACTTCTTTGCCCATGTCGTAGTAGTCTGCAAAGCTAGGCACATTCTGGATGGTCCTCTCACCAAGGAAGCTGCAAAAGAACTACCGAATAGCCAGTTGGCAAGAAGCTGCACGGTAGCATCTGGCCCGGTCCTGGCTGGAGGTGGCCTCTCACCGCAAAGCTCACGAAAGCAAGCTAATTTCAGATCAACGCTTTTAACACCGTAGCGTTCAAAATCCTTCAAGAACCTTGAACAGCTTGTCTTTCAGATCTCAACATCAACTTACAATCAGATGAATTGTCAAGAACCCTTGGCCTTGAGGCCCTCGGCTTAATTGAACCGGCAAAGATTATACGGGAGACTGTGGGTGGTCAAACTTAGCGTACCTTCTAAGACTCCTCAATGCAGGGTGCCATGGTAGGCGTGGTATTGTGGGTCAACTGCAAAAAAACCCACCTCGGAGGCGGCGCTGATTCCCGGGTGGTTGTGTGGTGGATCTTCCTGAAGCTCCATCAAACCCATGCAACGTAGCAAGTCATGTGAGAATCTTGTTGCCAACCTCCATGTACTTCTGACAAAGTATGCAGTCTTGCAGTGCCCGACTCCGTTCATGTGTACCCCGTGGTGCCAAGCGGCCCAAAGCGGGCGTTGAGCGACTGGGAGGATGACGAGCTCATGGCCAGGTCTCCAAGACTACGCACAACCGTCTTTACACTTCATGTGCTGGTTTATGGTTGGTGGGGTGCGGTCGTGGAGCCTTGCAAGTTTCACTCAGCCCACATGACGCCTAGGTTTGGCATGGACATCTGACAGAGTGCTAAATTGCAAACTTGGCTAAGGCTGCTCATCGAAGCTGGACTTGAATAAGTTTGTTCCTTGCCATTCTTGTAGAACCCAGACCCACTTCCTGCCATTCAACTGCTGAGCCATGCTGCATGACTGCCTCGAGGGTCACAACTCCGGTGCGTACAAGTGCTGAATGGCCTGTCCTTTGGCCGCACATGGCTGTTATGCGAGAATATGCAGAGCTCATGAGCGGAGCAATTCGAGCATCAGCCAGCACAGCTTTTGTGACTCAAGCAGCAAGCTACCGAGTGCTTGCCCGCAACTCAGCAATTTTCTGCAGCAAAGAAATTGTTGTGAGGGCGCACCTCTTTTGGACTTCATGCAGCTGCTTGAGGGCTCCTGCACCCTCAGTGATGGTTGTCCGACTTGCCTCTTGCTTGTATCCACCTGGTGCATGTTCTCTCCTCCGGTCTCTCTGCTGCCCGGAACTGCACCTTCCTGACAGCTAGAAGTTTCCTTCTGCATGGGAGTTTGTTTTCATTTTTCTCTGTGTGAGTATGCGTTGTCCCAGGTGTTGAAAGTAGCGTTGCCATAAAGGCCTCAGGGGCAGGCGAGGGTCCCATTGCTTGCATTTTGCTAGCAGCATCTTTGTTGTCTATTCAACAAAGGCGCTTTCTGTGTGATGGCCTTGCCTCAGGCAAGGGGTTTCAGTCTCCATGCAGCTGAAAGAACGCAGCAGTATAGGGGTGAGGGATCAAAGGCAACTTTTTAAGCATCACAAAAAAATACGCCCAGCGCATCAAAAACTCTTTTTAAGCAAAAAACGTTAGTACTAGATCGTGGTGGTGGTAGTAGTAGTAG